GAATATGGTTGTTATTTTCTGCAAAGGTGTTTTGGCTTCTGTAGATACAATAGATAGCAAGTTTGTCCCTATCCTTTAGTTTTAGTATACAGAATACTTGTTCTTCAAAAGGTCCTGTTTGCTGTAGGGAGTCGCAATCAATAGTGGAGATTACATATATGATCCCAACTCTTTTCCTATGTTGTCCAATAAAATGATTGTAGTTCTCTGTTTTAGATTCTATCATTTACTGAGGTTAGGTACATTTTTGATAGAATTTCTATTAGACATATCACATCTGGATAGTTATTTTCTATATAGAGTTTAAGTTCAATTTTTTTTGTCAATGTGTCTATTTAAGGAATGACCAAGATTTTGATTTGGTATATACGGTATATACCGTATATACCAAAACAAAATCTTGGGCATTCTTTATAATTTGTTTGAATGATATTGGTGGTTCCTCTAAAATATCAGTTGACAAGCTTAAAATGTATTATTCTAATATAATTTAATTTTGCCTATCTCCCCCATAATATTTTTTTTTGGTAAATATCGTATATACCTAAAAAGAAAAACAACTGATGACGGAACTACGTTTTACACTTCAGAATGCAAAATTACAACGGAGCTTTTTTTTAGCGCAATTGTTTAGTTTACGTAAAAATTATATAAATCTTTAACTGTGCATTTACAACGTGTTTGTCTACTTTTTTAAAATTAAATTATAAAGAATGACCAAGATTTTGTTTTGGTATATACGGTATATACCGAACAGAAATTGTGCACTTTGTTTTGGTATACACCGTATATACCAAAAAAAATCTTGGTCATTCCTTAAATAACGTTGATTATTGTGACGCACAGGTGTTCGAACGAGTCTGTGCTGTATATAAACGTTAGTCTGTCCTCTACAGCAGAGTTCTTGTTGTCCTCAAGATCCGGGTTGAAAGACATACGTTGGGGTTGGCACTTGTTCCATTGACGAAATTCACGTATAATTTGAAACTAGCGATGAGTTGAGATTTGGTGGAATCTATTTATTTTCTTATAGAATATGACGCAATATTTTTTTCAAACAACAACTGAGTGACGAGTGGGGAAGCTGTATAATTATTTGTAAAGATGTTGTAAAAGCTTATTTCAATCGTTGTTGAACGGGGAAGGAAAAAAGAGAGAGGATAAACTAATATTTATTGCTCATTATACATACATTGATTTGCATGTTAATGTTTTTGAGTGAATTAAAAAACAAAACCTAGAAGTGAGGAAGGGCCATTTATATTTCGTATCCCGACGTATCAACATCTGAAGCAATATATTAATGAAAAAAATATTTCAAACTGTCATGTTATTCACATTTATTCGTGACAGTGACAGTTTAATTGACATTAGACACAAATTGGTTGTTCACATACACATGTGGGTATACAACTATATTGCCTGGGTTTTTTTTATTTATTTTTAATGTGATCTACGGTCGCGATTATGACAAAAGCGTTCCTTGTCTATGTGCTCTTATACTACATCAAACATTGCACATTTAACTTCCAAAATTACCTCCTTTGTGGAGAATAAGGTTGAATCACTGTGTTGCCTGTATTTATTCATGCGCATAATTTGTTCCGGGATCAAAAAGAAAACAAAGTTCAATCTATCTTTCGGCACAGATTTCTATTGCTAATTTAAATCGCCATAGACATATTATACGCAATTGTATTGATAATAAATTGATAAGGTGGAAATTTCAAATTTTGAATATCTAACTTGGCAGTTAAAAAAAAAACAAAAAAAATGCGGGGAAAACGTAAATATAAGTATTGAACTGAATAATTGACGACAAAAATATAAGCAAATTGTTTAGTATCTTTAAACCCAAAACAGTGTATACTTATTTGATCTACATCAAGTCAAATACTTTGTTTTTATTTCAAAATATCAAAGAAACATCCTACTAGTCCTACTAATCTATATATTAGACTTCTCTGAAACAGCACATAGAACGCAGACAACATTACCGCATACAGTTTAGCACAGCCATCACAAGAGAACCAAGTATTCGAAACATACAAAATAAATTGTACAGTGTATGTAACCATGTAACAGACACGTCACAACGTGTGTGTTGCGTTATAAGAACTGATATATTTCCAACATTTAAGTATTGGACCAATGGACCTGAGGTCCAGCGAACTGAGACCCTTCACCGCATGTCTACAAACACATATAGTCCACATTTACCAACCATAGTTGTAAAGCCACGCGTCGATACGGAAGATAACCACTTCCAGTTTAGAGTAAACATGTTTAAAGACTGAACGTCTGTCAGATTGCAGTTACAGCCAATATGAATGCAATCTGGGTGACAGATAAAGAGAATGACGTATAATGAATCTAAACACTTGCAATGACGGGGACCCCTCAAGAAGAACAATACTTTTTGTTTAACGTCAAGTCAGTGAATGTTCTTAGAAAAAAAGAAAAATTTAGTCCCGAAAAATGTTTGGAACTGTATTCCTTCGGAAAATTTAAAAAAAAACATGTTAAAAAGTGTTTTAGATATTCCTTCATTTTAGTTAGTGTGCTAGTATTTGTTCGTCTACACCGGGGTGAGAAAAGTAATCTTATACACGAATTTATCGATCAAAAACATTATCATGCAAAGCATACGATTCTATCATAAGAACATAGGCCAAACTTAAAAAGCACCTTCCATGTTCGTATCTAAGAAATGAGCATATGTTACACTCCATTTGAACATTGACACTTGATGGCAGATTGATAAACGTGATTTTGCCATAAGGATAGTAAGCCGACGTCTTCACATGAAGTCAAGTAGGCTCATGTCTCCAAATACAATCGTATAGGATGTGTACCTAACTATCCCTCTTTTGAAATGATTATGATGTCCTTATAATTTGATAAAACTGGATATCTGTAAAAATAAGTATTTTATTTTAATATCAATAACACCGTTAGATATATACCTACTATTTAATATAACTGACAACATCATTTAATATAGAATATTTACATTTCTACTGAATTGGACTCAATATACCTACTTAACATTTTAAGGGTTATTTTTCAATGAACTTTTCAGTTGGCGTATGAATACATCAGCATATCATCAACCTGATTACTCTGTTATTCCGCGGAGCGCGGGAAGTAGTTCCATTCATATATTTTTTTCAATTTGTGTTTTTTTTTGTCAGAAATATTCAATTGAATTCATAAAAATAATTTACATCTTATTTTGAGTGATGACGTCATTAGTTTTGATATCTTCCGTGGTGTTAGACTTGCACAAGACCGATATTTAAGAAACTATCCGAACAAATATCAATATCGCTCTGAATGTAAATATAAGGATAGAATCCTATTTTGTTGAGGTTTATGGGTATAAACCTCAATGGGTCTTGAGACAAATTCAAAATGAACTGCTTCGCAGTTCATAAAATTTGTCTCAATACCCATTAAGGTTTATACCCCATAAACCTCAACAAAACAGAATTCAATCCTTAAATATACACTGCCATCAATATTTACGGTTAATTATGTATGAATCCACTAAGTGACATCATTCATTCTTTCGAAATCGAGATACGGTGATTTCTTTCGCTTGAAAGCGTATTAAGGACCTTGGACGGTTTTTTGTGTTTTCAGGCACCATCTAAATGACACATAAAATATCTCAGATATATAAATATTGACGACAACATAAGCATCGCATAGAAGTAAGCGATTAGGAATATTGCGGGATAGATGGTATCGTAGAAAACAAACAAAAATCCTTTGCTTATTAAACAATCAGCTAAACTCAATATGAAACGTTATGTTTGTTTTACTGTTTTGGGGTTTAACATCCTTACAATAACTATTAGGGTCATATTAGAACGGATTACTATGGGGACTACGCTGAAACAATGGTAAGGAAGCGAAAAATAGAAAATTTATAGATCTCAAGTGTTGTAATGGGGGCCGTATATCCACTTCGGTTTCTTTATTGACCCCTAATTAAAAGACATTGACTAAACCCAATATTTTACAGGGAACCCACATCGTTCGCCTCTTATGACTTGCAGTGGGATACAGCAGGCCTGTTCTTAACCCAAACCCGAAAGGGTCATGAGAAACTAAAATGCACCGCTAAGACTTACGCTCTTCAAATTGCAAATTTAAAGGACTCACACAACTAAATCATTTACTGTATGTTATTACCAAACATTTTAGCTAATAACTTTAATAGTTAAAGTTCAACACCAGTGGCAACTGTCTAGATTCATAAATAAATACCTTGCAAAGGCTACAAAATGACTATTTTTGGTAGGTTTAGTGACATATTGGAGTGTCACAACGTCCAGATGTTGACAACCGGAGGTTTACAAGCAAAACCGGTGACCCTAAACAGAAACGCCCCCATAAATGTTGCCCCTGTGCAAATCCACACACAGACATGGAAATATATCAAAAGTATGCATTTGTTAAAAGTTGAATACCTGAACATTTCATTTATCTAAACATCTGTCATCAGTTCCTATTAAACTTCCTTAGTGGCCCAGTAATTAGCCGGAACTGATTTTAGATAGGAACTACAAACGTATGAAACACTTGCTGATTGGCTGCTTTAGTTGTGCGAGTCCTAAAAGCGATCCCTTAGAATAAAAGCTGATCAGAAATTAAAAGCCTGATATGGACATTATAGGTAGTGGGCTTTGAATATAAAATGTATTGTATTATTAATAAAGATTCATTAAGAAAATATATTAAAAACGTAGCATTAAGGAGACAAAATTCTTCCAAAATATTGTTTTCCTGTAAGAAATAAGTGCAATCTTTAATAACACTCAACAGTTTGGAAACATGCAATATCGAAGTTTAACTTTCTACACAATCAGTGTACGTATTAAACGTGTCGCTATGTTTCAAGACTGGTCCCTTATATAGGTCATAGCTTGACAAAGGGACCAGTCGGTCTTGAAACGTTGCGATACGTTCAATAGTTCGCGACATTTACTTACCCGTTATAATTTTTCTCCTCTGGGTATCATTAGCAACTTGCAGGATTTCCGCAGCAGGATTAAAATAGTCTAAATATTCAGTAAACGACTGTGGGTGTATGACTGTAAATTACAAAAGGAAATACAACAAAGGTATAAAGATAATAACAAAAGGCCGATGGGCCTGAACGTTACAAGGATTGTACGTTAATTGTTTGAAGAGGAATTATAATGTCGGTAAAGACACCGACCACAATCTAAATTAAGTATAATACTATTGATTTATAATAGTTCGTCATTTTTTTTCATTTTAGCGATACATTTATTTACTAAGGTAGTCCCCACACTACGTTTAAGTTGAAAAATTAAAATGTTTACCGGACGACGAAGGGCAAGGGATCGCAATAACTTAATCAATTGGGATGTATCAAAAATCTTTACTAACTTTACATACAAATACCGTATCATACACGGAACATCTCGTATGATCAGTCTATACTATCCATGTTTGCACTGGAGACCTCACACAACTGTACCGTATCTATAGGACTCCTCCGTGTTATAAGACACTCAGATACAAGTACTATATCTTAACATTCACACAAAATAAATATATGTCATACATACATAATACTCACGTTTGCAGCCGGATGGTTTGCTGCTGTCTGGAAGAAAAACATTTCTACTGAAGCATTTTAAGTGGAATTGTGTGACCGTCGTGAAACTAAGATTAGCTTATTTAACTATTTAACTCTCTCTCTCTCTCTCTCTCTCTCTCTCTCTCTCTCTCTCTCTCTTGGTAATAAGGTGATATTTTTCTATAGAACTAACATGGCATATATTTTTAATCCAGGTATCAACCTTTGCACTCAATTACAGCGAGGTATTTTTTTCGTTTTTTTGTTGTTGTAAATGTTGCGATTATTAAGACACAAGATGGTTAATTAAGAAAAACGACGAAATCACAAACATGAAAGTAGACATAGGTACATGTGTTTAATAAACAAATATAAATGCTATTTAATAACATTATGAAACAAGTTTTACATTGGTTGAACGTAAGCGCACGGGGGGTCTTAATATGGGAAGAAACCGGAGCACACGGAGCAAACCCACTAGGTCGGGCAGATGAATATACCTCCAATCGAGGAATCCCCTGCGCAACCCAACCAACATAATCATTATATAACTTAATGCGACCAAAATGCTTCTTCATTTCCAAACGACAATCGTTGGTTGTGACAACGTGACTATGTCTTTTATTTCTGCCGATTTTCAATATCAATGGGGCTAAACTGCATCTTAATTTAGAAAACGCGCTTTTGTGATTTTTCGGTAAAATATCGTGCACATTAACAATTAAATTCAACTTATACAAACGTAACGTTTTTAAATGTTTATTAAGTCTATGATCAAAGTATGAAAACGACTCTACCGTCAATAGAAAGATGTTCAAACCCGTGTTACTATTTACTTTTCAGCTCGTGTCACTGTTCAGCATCAGTTTGTGAGTATAACGACTACAGCACAGGAATAACAACTAACGCATAGGAATAACAACTAAAGCACTGGAATAACAACTAAAGCATATGAATACACAACTAAAGCACAGGAATATCAACTAAAGCACTGGAATAACAACTAAAGCATAAGAATAACAACTAAAGCACAGGAATATCAACTAAAGCACTGGAATAACAACTAAAGTATAGGAATAACACAGGAATAACAACTAAAGGCATAGGAATAACAACTAAGGCACATGAATGACAACTAAAGCACAGGAATAACAACTTAAGCATATGAATAACAACTAAAGCATAGGAAAAACAACTAAAGCATAGGAATTAACAACTAAAGCACATGAGTGACAACTAAAGCATAGGAATGACAACTAAAGCATAGGAATGACAACTAAAGCATAGGAATAACAACTAAAGCATAGGAATAACAACTAAAGCATAAAAATAACAACTAAAGCACAGGAATAACAACTAAAGCACATGAATGATAACTAAAGCACATGAATAACAACTTAAGCATATGAATAACAACTAAAGCACAGGAATAACAACTAAAGCACATGAATGACAACTAAAGCATAGGAATAACATCTAAAGCACATGAATGACAACTAAAGCATAGGAATAACAACTAAAGCATAGGAAAAACAACTAAAGCATAGGAAGAACAACTAAAGCATAGGAATAACAACTAAAGCATAGGAATAACAACTAAAGCACTGGAATAACAACTAAAGCATATGAATACACAACTAAAGCACAGGAATAACAACTAAAGCACTGGAATAACAACTAACGCATAGGAATAACAACTAAAGCACTGGAATAACAACTAAAGCATAGGAAAACAACTAAAGCATAGGAATAACAACTAAAGCATAGGAATAACAACTAAAGCACATGAATGACAACTAAAGCATAGGAATAACATCTAAAGCACATGAATGACAACTAAAGCATAGGTATAACAACTAAAGCATAGGAAAAACAACTAAAGCATAGGAAGAACAACTAAAGCATAGGAATAACAATTAAGGCATAGGAATAACAACTAAAGCACATGAATGATAACTAAAGCATAGGAATAACAACTAAAGCACTTGAATAACAACTAAAGCATATGAATACACAACTAAAGCACAGGAATAACAACTAAAGCACTGGAATAACAACTAAAGCATAGGAATAACAACTAAAGCATAGGAATAACAACTAAAGCACAGGAATAACAACTAAAGCACATGAATGACAACTAAAGCACAGGAATAACAACTAAAGCATAGGAATAACAACTAAAGTATAGGAATAACAACTAAAGCATAGGAATAACAACTAAAGCATAGGAATAACAACTAAAGCATAGGAATAACAACTAAAGCACAGGAATAACAACTAAAGCACAGGAATAACAACTAAAGCATAGGAATAACAACTAAAGCATAGGAATAACAACTAAAGCTTAGGAAAAACGACACGTTCAATTTTTAATTACCTGAATACATGTTTTGCTGAGATAAAGCAATTCAGTCCACGTGGCTTTTTGTTTAAAATTTTATCTATATATCTAACCAACGACCCATATCACTTATACATGAAAACAAATTGGTAACCTAATGTGGCTGTAAGTTTTAAATATCTTTATTTTTTCATTGGGCTCAGCCCTGCATCGTGTAACAAAGAAGAGCGGACAGGAATGATACAAAACTATTTACGCTACTGAGACCTGACCAGAAGTCATGATTTTTTTAATTTTTTTCTCAACGATATTTTGTTTTTGTCACATCAAGGACACACAGGAAATTACCGATGCCGCACTTTCAAAAGTCAAAGCTTTTCATTCTGTATCGAGTTCAACATCCTCGATATCCAGGGGTTACGCTAACTTTCGCTCTCTGCACCCCTGGAATATGTCATGGTAAAATTGAAGACACGAAGATAGCTGTTTGATAGGTTTCAGGCAAAACAAAAAACACTGACCAATCGCTAGGGTGATACCTGTCCTTTGAAGATAACAAAGGAGAGACGCCCAACTTCAAAGCCTGTCATTTTTTTAACCGTTACATGACCGCGGGATTCTTTTGATGTACATCAAAGGATCAAACTAGTCTTCTTGTCTCATCAAAAAGGTGGCGCACACCGAACCTTCAATTTTGCTATGACATAATCTAGGGGTGTAGAGAGCAAAAGTGAGCGTAACCCCTGAATATCGAGGATGCGAGTTCAATGACTGGCAATGTAACTACGTAGTCTGCCGTGTATCTGACGTCGACAGCACCAGTAGTAGTGACGTAATTATATACGTAGTCTGCCGTGTATCTGACGTCGACAGCACCAGTAGTAGTGACGTAATTATATACGTAGTCTGCCGTGTATCTGACGTCGACAGCACCAGTAGTAGTGACGTAATTATATACAAATGTACGTAGTCTGCCGTGTATCTGACGTCGACAGCACCAGTAGTAGTGACGTAATTATATACGTAGTCTGCCGTGTATCTGACGTCGACAGCACCAGTAGTAGTGACGTAATTATATATAAATGTACGTAGTCTGCCGTGTATCTGACGTCGACAGCACCAGTAGTAGTGACGTAATTATATACGTAGTCTGCCGTGTATCTGACGTCGACAGCACCAGTAGTAGTGACGTAATTATATATAAATGTACGTAGTCTGCCGTGTATCTGACGTCGACAGCACCAGTAGTAGTGACGTAATTATATACGTAGTCTGCCGTGTATCTGACGTCGACAGCACCAGTAGTAGTGACGTAATTATATATAAATGTACGTAGTCTGCCGTGTATCTGACGTCGACAGCACCAGTAGTAGTGACGTAATTATATACGTAGTCTGCCGTGTATCTGACGTCGACAGCACCAGTAGTAGTGACGTAATTATATATAAATGTACGTAGTCTGCCGTGTATCTGACGTCGACAGCACCAGTAGTAGTGACGTAATTATATACGTAGTCTGCCGTGTATCTGACGTCGACAGCACCAGTAGTAGTGACGTAATTATAGACTTATCACACGTAAAGTAATCCTACTTTTATATCGTAAACCATCACAAGAACAATTGCATCTTGTAATATATATATAGATGTATGTATAAACATGGGCAAAGACGTAATAACGACAGTGAAGGCAAAGAAATTTGTTCAATTTCAAGAGCGATACTATCCATTATCAAGACAGAAACATAACATTTACATATCACAACATATAACAGAGATTAACAGTCACCATGAAACTATTATAATTCAATCTTGCTTGTAATAAGCATTTTCATTGGCTTAAAAAATTATGTTATCAGTCCATAACGTAAAAAATGACGTCGCCATGTGTAACGTCGCTTTTGATTGGTTGATACAGCAGCGCAATTATTTCTAAAAGAAAAGAGTCCATCAATAAAAGTGGATTTCCACAGGTATTGTGTATAGCAGATAAAATTATAAGGATTAATTCGAATATATTTTTCATGTTATGGAGCTATAACACAAAAAAACAGAATGTACTCTCATCATAAACCGCATCGCTGTTTATTTAGAGTACACTCCGGTTTTTTGTGTTATATCTCCATAACATGAAAAGTATATTCAAGTTAATCCTTAAATAACAGAAAAATATTAAAACAAAAAAACAGGAGTTACTTATATGATATATCTGTTTTACTAGATTAATTTAGATTTTTTGTATTAATTCACTTGACCTCACGTATTCAAGATAATTTTTTACAATAATTAGCCTTCGGTTATCAGCTAGCCGGCAGCAGGTGTCTGTTTCGGACAATAGGACTAAACTCAGATTAAGAAATATTGGTTTTCTCACCACTTCTTATCCAAAATAACAACACAAAAACGCAAATATACATTTGCCGTACTAGCCCGTATTAAATTGTGCAGTCGGCGTTTCATACTTTTTTTTGTTCTGGTCGTCCCAGATACTCCATACATGAAACCCCATCACAGGAAAAACAGGAGATAACCCCCGGAAACCTGTGTCCCGACGGCTTGAATCAATTATTTCCATCTGCAATACATTCTCCGGGCCGACACAGGGACCGCCGTCAAAAAACCGAAAACCAACGCTCACCAGAAGCTCTACTGACCCGCTATCAGCGCACCACACTTCCTGT